GGTCATGTGACGGAGGCCCTGCTAGAACCCAGGCGTCCTGCCCTCCTGAGCTTGGGACACGGCTCTAGTCCCCTTGGGAGACTAGTGCAGAGGGGGCCACGGCCGAGGAGCTCACCCCGAGCCTGGGCCTCTGCACGGGGTGACCTGCCCCCCTCCTGTGGGACAGAGCCAGCCTTGCATCCCCAGCCAGCCCTCCTGCCCCCTCCCCGTCTGACCCACGGAGGGGAGGGACGAGCCTTCCATGGCTGGTGCACAAAGCAACCAGACCGACCCCCTGAGTGGAGCCGCCTGTGCCATGGGGTGCAGGGTGGGGGGCAGTGCCCCCCCCGGGGGCAGGGCACATGCATGTACATGCACACGCACGCCTGTGCCATGGGGCGCAGGGTGGGGGGCAGTGCTGGTGCACACACACAAGTGCTCAGTGGTGCAGAGGGCAGGGCACTAGTGAACAGGATGCCTGCAAGCAGTGTGGGGGGCGGGGGGCAGAGCTCACCAGTGAGTGAACCAGGCCGGGGCCATCCCAGGGGCTCTCAGCTCAGACCAAGCACTGGGTGACGTTAGTACCCAGGGAGGAGGCATGCTGCGTGCCCCCCCGCCCTCAATGGGCCTCGCCTGCCCACCCCTTGCTGTTCTGCACTCAGAGCTGCCTGGGGCTGGGGAGAGACCAGACAGACGGACAGACGGGGAGTTATCCAGCAGGGTCGGGGGTTCCGGGTTGGCGCTCAACCCGAGGACCGACCGTTCTCCGGGTGCCTCACGATCATCAGTGGCTTTGCGGGGCATGACTCTGCCAGCGCAGGAGAACAGGGCCGTATGGAACAAGACGTCGTCCTGTTTGTCGGGGGTGGCGCCGGCCCATTGTACACCCCAAACCGCTGCCATGGGGGACCCCGCTGCTCTGTTCAAACTGGCTGGCCGAGGCAGGGCCCGGCTCGCACTCTGTCTCTGCAGCACACCAGAGTCCGAATACCCCCACGCACTGCAACCAGCGCTTACCGGGGCGCATCGCAGAAGGGCGGCACCTCGAGGCCCCTGACCTGGCCCACAGGCAGTGCAGATTTGGAAGGGGCAATTCTTTAACTCCAGGGGAAAGCAGGATTTTAAAGCAGTAAGAAGAAATGGAGTTTGCTGCTACATACACGAGCCAGAAACAGCGACCCCGACCAGAAACCAGGAAGAGCACTGGCTGGGCATGTTCCCTGTGACTGTAGCGGTCTGCAACTGGGCCATATGGGGCTGGCCTGCGTCCGTGCGTCTGTCTGCAACTCGGTCATGCGGGGCTGATCTGTGTCCACGTGTCTGTCTGTCCCTGGGCTGTCTCTCCCCCAGTTTGGGGCTGCTTGCCAGGGAGACAGGCTCACAGGGTGTAACAACTTCCACTGCCAGCTCCTCAGGGCAGAACCCGTTTGTGCAGGGCCTGGCGCAATTGGGCTCCCACCCCCCAGTCCCGAGACCATCATAATACAGGGGATGGGGAAGTGATGCTGTGGGGGGCAGATTGACGTAGGGAGCTGCTAGTTTAGGGGTGGCCTGAAGGCTGGGGGAGGTAGGCACCGGTGAGGTTGGCATGGGGTTCACCCAGGATGGATGGGGGATTCCCAGGGGGGAGGTTCCTGAGGAGGTTTCAAGCAGCACACACCAATGGTATGGGGGGCTTCCCAGGGGGCTGAGAAGGGTATCAGGGGGCATTCACCAATGGGGGAGATGTAGGTGCTGGTAACGTTAGTGTGCGGGGAGGGGTTTGCAGGGGTTCCCCAGGGGGGAGGTTCCCCTTGGGGAGGGGAGGATCCAGGGTTCCCTGGGAAGGGAGTCGGGGGGAGGGGTCCCCAGGCACTCACTGATGGTGGAGATGTAGGTGCTGGTGAAATTGGGGGGGGTTTCAGGGGTTTCCCAGGCAGAGGGGTCCCTGGGGGTGCCGGGGGGCAGTCTGGGCGGTGGGCTGGGCACCCACCGCTGGTGGAGATGTAGTGCTGGTGAGGTTGGGGGGCTGGAGGGGTTCCCCAGGCAGGGGGTTCCGGGGGCCAGGGCGGCTCACCGATGGTGGAGATGTAGTGCTGGTGAGGTTGGGGGGCTGGAGGGGTTCCCCAGGCAGGGGGGTTCCGGGGGCCCGGGGGCGGGCACTCACCGATGGTGGAGATGTAGGTGCTGGTGAAGTTGGGGGGCTGCAGGGGTTCCCCAGGCAGGGGGGTTCCCCGGGGGGCCCCGGGGGCGGCACTCACCGATGGTGGAGATGTAGGTGCTGGTGAGGTTGGGGGGCTGCAGGGGTTCCCCAGGCAGGGGGGTTCCCCGGGGGGCCCCGGGGGTGGGCACTCACCGATGGTGGAGATGTAGGTGCTGGTGAGGTTGGGGGGCTGCAGGGGTTCCCCAGGCAGGGGGGTTCCCCGGGGGGCCCCGGGGGCGGCACTCACCGATGGTGGAGATGTAGGTGCTGGTGAAGTTGTCCTCGGCGAAGCGGATGATCAGGCAGGTTTTGCCCACCCCGCTGTCCCCGATCAGCAGCAGTTTGAAGAGGTGATCGTAGGACTTGGCCATGGCCCGGCCGGGCCGCTCGGCTCCTGGGCAAAACTTTCCTGCAGCCGGGAAGCGCCAAGGGGCGGTGCCGGCTCCGCCTCCGCCTGCGCCCGGCGGGTGGGGGAAGCCCGGAGCCCTCCTCCCGCCGGGCCCGGGAGAACCGGCTCTTGCGCGGGGAGCCCGGCTGGGGAAGCACCCTGGGCAGGGAGGGGTTAACCAGCAACGGGGGGCAACGGCCTCCAATTGGTCTGCAGAAGCCCCCAGCTGGGCTGGCAGGGGCTGCGGGTCGGGAGTGAGGGGCACCGGCAGAGCTGGGGGTGGGGGGAGCCCGGGGCTGGGCTGGGCTGGCAGGGGCTGCGGGTCGGGAGTGAGGGGCACCGGCAGAGCTGGGGGTGGGGGGAGCCCGGGGCTGGGCTAGCAGGGGGCTGCGGGTCGGGAGTGAGGGGCAGCAGCTGAGCTGGGGGCGGGCAGGGCTGGGCTGGCAGGGGCTGTGTGTTGGGAGTGAGGGGCACCAGCAGAGCTGGGGGGTAGGGCTGGGCTAGCAGGGGGCTGTGGGTCAGGATTGAGGGGCGCCAGCAGAGCTGGCGGGGCGGGGGCAGACCCCAGGGCTGGGATATGCTTGAGCTGAGCTGGGTTTCTTTGGAATTCCTCCTAAACAAAGTGAGGCGAGGGGCAGGTTTTCACCATAATTTACTGAAGCTGTTTTGTCTAAACGCAGCCAACTCTTAGTCGGGTGGGTCCCACAGCGGGGGAGGGTCAGTCCTACCCTCTTCCTCCTCACACACCGGATGCTTTTCTCCTTTACTTCCTCTTGCCCTTGGGCTGGGAGCCCCTGAAGCAGAACAATACTGATAGGGTCCAGTTCCTTTCCCCACCCTGCTCTGCCGTGGGAAAGCAGGAGCCCTTAAATCACAGCGGGTCCGGACTCAGGACTGGGATGCGGCATCAGCAGGTCTCTGTGTTTGTGTGGAGCCCGGGACTGGATGAGCAGCAGGGACAGGCTGTGGGTGGAGATTGAGGGGCCTCTCAGAGCTGTGTTGACCTGTGGGGAGCCCAAGCCTGAAGTAGCAGAGGGGCTGCGGGACTGAGGGACACTGGCAGAGCTGAGTGGGGACTCAGGGCTAGGATAGCAGGTGGCTGCAGGTCAGGAGTGAGGGGCACCCGCTGAGCTGACGGGGGACCCAGGCAGGGATAGCAGGAACTGCGTATCAGGACTGAGGGGCACTGGCAGAGCTGTGGGGGGCCCACTGTGGTGCAAACATGCTCCAAAAACTTCTTGACATTAATTCATGGTGTGACCAGTGTCCCTGGGTCACAGTCATGGTTTGCTGACACCACATAAATCCTAATCCTGCAGCTTGTCCCTTTATCTGTGTCATCAGAAAGGTCCTCCCTTGAACGGGCCGGCAAATGGGGTGGCTAGGTCTGGCTTCGTGCCAGAGAGGGTGAATTTTTCTCCCGGGATCTGCAGGAAGGAAGCGGCAGAAAGGCCTCCGTGCATTCCAGCTGGGCAACAAGCGCCACTCGCCGGCACTGCCCTCCAGTGACCAAACCACAGGGTACCTCACTCTCGGCCCGCTGTTGTTCCCTCTCTGCCCTGGTTGTCTGCAAACCTCTCTGAGGCGGAAGCCCAGGTTCCAAGGGAAGCAAGAAATCCAGATGTGCGGGGCCCACACCTCATGCCTGTGGCCCCGCAGGCTTCCAGCTGCAGAGGAGCCCCGCACTGGACCTGCTCCGTGCTGCTGGAGATTAGAGAGCAGGGGCCTTTGAGGCCTTTTCTAGCGTTCGCGCAGACTCGCCTAAGTGCCCTGCCGCTCTCGGACTTGCCCCGCCGGCGGAGGCCACCGTTAAGCTCCTCCCACATCCACGTGTGCATCGACGAGGGTCACTTCCGTGCCTGTCGCCCGGGAGGGTCCCAAAGCCTGGGGCGGCCGGGGCCGCGGGGCAGCCCGCGTGTCGGCGGGGCGCGGCGGAGGAGCCCGGCTCCGCTCGAGGTCCTGCCGGGGTTCGGAGGGTGACCGGAATGAACGACGTTGGGGCCCATCCGTCTTCGCGGGGCCCAAGCCCACCGGCCCGGCGCTAGGACCTCATCGTCCCAGGCCCTCGAATGACAGCACCTCGCGCCTCCTCCCGCCGCCTGCTCCCGTCACCGTGGCACCCAGGATGATGTCATGCGGGACCACGGAACAGGGCCAATCCCGGGGCACCTCAGCAGCATGGGGCCTGTGGGGAAGGATCTCACTGCTCATCCCATGGGCCTGGGTCCCCAAGGACCTTCCCAAGATGGCGTCCTTTCCCGCTTCCTCAGCGCCTGGAGAAAAGATTGACCCTCTGAACATGGCCGCTACTTCCGACTACAGTATTTCTTCTGGTTGAAGGCAAAGACCTTTTCAACATGGCGGCGCTTCCGGTAGTCGGAGCACTGTGTTGGCCTGAACGACCTTCTCAAAATGGCGACAGCACCCAGCTCTTCTTGCGCATTGGGTGGCAGCTTCGACCTTTCCAACATGGCAGCAGGGCCGTGCCAAGTGCTCACTTCCGCCCGTGCGGGGAACCCCGGAGCGGATATAGCGGCCCCGGTTTCCGCTCTAGCTCCTTTTCGGCCCCGGCTGCCTCCACGCGAACATGCCTGTGAGTGCGGCCGAGCGGCCCGTGGGGGGCCGGGCCCGGGAGCCGCCCCCTCGCCCGGGGCGGCCCCGCTCCGCTGGCCGGGCTCTGCCGGCGGGGGGCGGGGTCCGGGGGCGGCGATGGGGGCCCGGCCCGGGCCGGGTAGCGGGAGCCGGGACCGGAGCGGGGAGATGGCGGCGGGGGGGAGGGACCAAGATGGCGGCGGGGGGGCAGGCCGGGAGGGGGGCGCCCCTCCGGAGGGGGGCCGGGGTGGGGGGGCTCCCCGGGCCGGCCTAACGCGCTGTGCTTGGCTTGCAGCTGGCGAAAGACCTGCTGCATCCCTCCCCCGAGGAGGAGAAGCGGAAACACAAGAAGAAGCGTCTGGTCCAGAGTCCGAACTCCTATTTCATGGACGTGAAGTGTCCAGGTGAGGCCCCGGCCTGGCCCCCCAGGCGGGCCTTGGAGCCCGTGCGGGGCAGCTCCCGCTCAGGGCACTTGGGGAAGGGCTCCCCCAGGCTGCGTCCCACCTGCTGGCAGCCGGCCGTGGGCGTCCCGCTTAGCTCCCAGGCAGGAGCCCGAAGGTAGCTTGGTAGCCCACGAAAGCTTGTGTCCAAATAAACGTGTTGGTCTCTAAGGTGCCACAAGGACGCCTCGTTTTTGCAGGTAGAGACTAACACGGCTGGCTACCCCTCTGAAACTCGGTAGCCCATGTAGTCAACATTTCCTGACCCTGGGCCTGTAAGAGTTGGTCGTGGCAGAAGTTGTCCTACTCCAGAAATCAAACGGAAAGCTTGCACCTGTGCAGCATTGTAAGGCATGTTTTCTCCTCCAGCTGTGCAGGGGGTACACCGGGGTTCTCGGTAGGCAGACTGCAGGCCAAATCTGGACCACCAGGTGCTTTTAAAGGGATCCTGGAATCTTACCTTTTGCTAAAATTTCTCTGAAGTCTGGACCTTGATTATACTCTGACAAACAATAATAGACTATCACTGGGCTAGACCCCATGTGGGAGGAGTCCCTTAATGTGTGTTGACTAGTACCCTGCCCAGGGGATGCCCTGGGATTATCTTGTCTCAATTTAGTTGTCTGATGTTAGCTGAATTCATTATTGTAGCTAGCGGACAACTGATCATTCCCCACCGGGACCAGGTTCTTCAGTCTACTGTACCTACCTTTAAAATGCAAACTTAAAACGCTTGCTTTTGAGACCCCTTTAAAGCCCCACTATGGCCAGAGCAGTGCAAACTGTTTGAACATTTTTCACTGTCGCCCTTAGTCCCCTTCTTTCTCCAGCAGATTAAAGTTTCATTTGCCTGCTGAAAATGTCAAAATAGTCTCAATAACAATCCAGCTTTGTCTTTTGCTCCAACAGTGGAAATAACACCGCCCCACTTCTCTTGTAGAGAAATAGGCTCACCTCAAACTTTTGCTTTGTTTCAGGTTGCTATAAAATCACCACTGTATTCAGCCATGCTCAGACTGTAGTTCTGTGTGTTGGCTGCTCAACTGTGCTGTGCCAGCCCACCGGAGGAAAGGCAAGGCTTACAGAAGGTAAGCAGCAATTTGTACTTTAAAACACCCAGGCAGCTAATGTATTTTTCCATGTCATCATAACCCCCTTACCTGTTTTGTTTTGCTCTTGTCTGTCTTGAACGAGAGATTCTTCAGGACAGGGAATGTATATCAATGCACTGTACACAGTGTTATAATACCTCTGATCCAGAATTTTATCTTGAGTGGCACTTCAGAAGAGTCTCAATCTGTCTAGTATGTGCCTGAAGTGCTTGCAGGGAGTGGGTTTGCTAAGTATAATGAAATGCCTCTTAAGTGACCAGCAAAAATTAGTCTCCTAGAACAGCTGGCAGGACAGAACTACTAGAAACCTTGGGGATTCTTGAATGCTTAGGCTGGATGGCTATTTACTGGTCTTCCTAAGAGGGTTGTTGGGGATATACTTTGGCCTTCTTGGCTTTGAGCCATGCCTGGACTATTTGAGCTAGTTCTGTGTTCTGTTGGCTCCACTACAGTTTTACTTCTATAATGATGGATCTGACTTAGTGGATTTTGGAGCTGTTGATACCTGAGGGTTTCACTCTCCCAGTAGCCCTCAGTCCTTGTTGAGCTATGAGAATACGGTCTGCCTCCCTCAACCCCTAGAGGCCTTGTGGTGCTGTTACCCTCCTGTGGACTGAGTTAACGACTCACCCATCCGCCCCACAGGCTGGTAATGTGCTTGGGATTACCTACTGTTCTTTCCTTATCTAGGATGCTCCTTCAGACGAAAGCAGCACTAAACTGAAGTGTCTGAGATGGGTGGGACTACCTGCGCAGTTGGCTGCACAGACAAATACAGATGGTTCAAGAGCATGGGATTCAGCCACAGAGCTACATTAAGTGTCCTGATGTGAACAGAAGGCTTTAAACACGTCTCTGGAACGTGAGGGGAGAACATGACTTTCATACTGTCCCTGTAGCCTCACCTATCTGACTGTCAATAAATTTTGGATAAAATACAGCTTAGTCTGTTGCTTTAACTTGATACTCACTGTCAACTCACATAATGCTCTTTTTGGGTGATATAAGCAAAACTGTTCAACCGGAGTGAAAACCAACACTTTCTGGGCAGAGTTTGACTCTGCCCTGCCTGTAATTGCAACAGATACTATGATGACCCTCAGCAGGGAAAGAATATGCATATGCAGCGAGTCCCTGTTCACCTTAGAGTGAAACCGGAGTTCTTCTCTAGTTCCGCCCTCTCCTGAGAAGTCAGTAATCTGACTATTCTTAAAGTGGAAGTTTCAACCACTGTGAATCCTAACTTTGCTCTGCTGGCAGCACAAGCTTTTACAAGTGACTCCAAAATATTCCTCAAACCACAGTAAAGTACCTTGTTAACCTTCCAGTGCTCTGATCTGATACCCTACCGATATAGGCAGGCACAAGAAGCCTGCTGTATCATACATTACTGGCCTGAAAAAGGTCTAAAAGTCAAATGGCCTGGTGGCTTCTGGACTTTATTCTGGCCCAAATCTTGAAGGAGTTTTCTTGTTGCAGGATCTACCACACTGATCTCTTAAAGTAGAAGGGCACGAACCCTATTGTGCCTTTGGCAACATGATAGTGGGGCCCCTGTCCAGTACCCATCACTGTAGCCTGAAGATTCTAGAGTCAGACTGTTGTCCCAGAGAACCAGGAAGGTGCTGTGACTTCCAGTTAGAGGAGTTAGAACTACACCTAACATCATGCTTCACTAGACATTTATTATTGTACAAACAGGTACTTCCTTCAAACATGCCTTCTCCGTACACTCCAAAGCCATAGCTGCGTCCTGTTTCTTTCATTGTGTTGCTGAGTACCAACAGGAGGATATGAATACCCTAAGTGTAGGGAAAAAGGTTAGTCAGATTAATACTGGACTGCCTGGATATCCTTAGGACACACGAACAAAAAGGACAGGGTTTTACTGAAGACAGCTGCTGCCATCTAACCTTCAATTTATAGAAAATAGTTCCTAAAACTTCAAGCCCTTTCCTGTACCTGAGACAAGGTAGGGGAGGGAATATCTTTTATTAGATCAACTTCTGTTCTTGTCACCAACAAAATATACTATCTCACCCATCTTGTCTCTTAATATCCTGGGATCAACACAGCTACAAGCAAAAAGTACCTGGGGTTCAGGGGACTTCAAATTCACTTTTCGAGGCTGGCTATTTTGCCTCCAGAGAAATGAGTCTGTTTTACAGCAATGATAGGCTGGGAAAGGGAGCAACCAGGATGAGAGAATAAGTCCTATCTTAAGTAAGTGATGTTTGCTACTGACCTTTGTATACAGCTGTTCAAACAAATTATATACAATGTTACAAGTTTCAAAAAATTCCAGCTTACCTGTCTGAGGTGTAGCTGAGGTAGGAACATACACAATAGGTACAGTCTGCACTCTGGTCAGAAAGGCATTGTATGCTGCAAAAATAACAAATTATGTAACACTGGTGGAACAGGTGTGAAGGTATAGTTCAGGGGTCCCCAACGCAGTGCCCGCAGGTGTAATGGCACCCGCTGGGGCAGTTGTGTGCGCCTGCAGGACACCATGCTGCCAAAATGCTGCCACCGAGCGTGGCCACCTGAGAACCACTTGCCCAAATGCTGCTGAGAAGCGTTGCCGTTTCTCGGTGGCAAGGCTTCTTTCCGCTGCCACTTCTCGGCGGCATTTCGGCAGCAGGGTGTTTGGCGCCCGCCACAGTGTGTTGGGAATAGGAATTTGCTATTCCCACAGAAAGGTTGGGGACCACTGGTAGTCTCATTATGCTAAAAGTTTGTGTACAGTTACAGCAGTTTTAGGTGTGATTTAAACCAACACAAAGCTGCGTGGCCATTTAGGAGTCTTGGGGCCACTACTCCTGAATGATAGTACTAGGCGGCTAAGATGCTCTAATTTAGAGGTTGATGTCACACATACTGATTTGCTTTAACTCTCCTGAGTGCTCTACAGAGAGATGGGCTGTTTAGCTTCAGTCAATTAGTATAGGTTTAAGACCAAGTGCAATAAGCCATGCAAACATAAGCATGAGTTTTTCCACAAGTTTAACTAGACCCATGCAACTTTGTCTAAAGGCCAAACTGACAAATAAGATATTCCAACTGAACACAATTTCACAGCTTGTATGGGTCAAAACCTGACCCTGTAGTGCTCCCTGCCGTGTATGCAGGGGTGTGAAGGAGGAAGAGAATATGCATTTTGGCACTGCTGGAAAAATCTGATCCATCAGAATTGTGGGGCACCAAGTACCAAAATCATCAGGCAAAATGGGCAGAAATGTTGCAGTATTTAGATACCATTGAAAGTGTAAATAAACTTCATATATTAAAGGTTAAATCAGTAGTGCTCAAAAGGTACCCCTGTTGGAGCCAATAATCTTATCTAGCCCCAGAAGAGAGACAGCACAAGTAGCTACAGGGCAAGTTTCCACCACACTGCCCTTTGCCAGTATACCTCAGCTCGGCTCCAGAGTGACCATGTCTAGAGAGGTTTCAGAGTAACAGCCGTCTGTATTCGCAAAAAGAAAAGGAGTACTTGTGGCACCTTTGAGACTAACCAATTTATTTGAGCATAAGCTTTCGTGAGCTACAGCTCACTTCATCGGATGCATACTGTGGAAAGTGTAGAAGATCTTTTTATATACACACAAAGCATGAAAAAATACCTCCTCTCACCCCATTCCCCAGCAGGAGAGTAGGTTTGTGTGTGTGTGTGGGAAACCTGGATTTGTGCTGGAAATGGCCCAACCTGATTATCATACACATTGTAAGGAGAGTGATCACTTTAGATAAGCTATTACCAGCAGGAGAGCGGGGTGGGAGGAGGTATTTTTTCATGCTTTGTGTGTATATAAAAAAGATCTTCTACACTTTCCACAGTATGCATCCGATGAAGTGAGCTGTAGCTCACGAAAGCTTATGCTCAAATAAATTGGTTAGTCTCTAAGGTGCCACAAGTACTCCTTTTCTTCATGTCTAGAGAAGAGAAAGGAATTGGGCTTTTCCACAGGGGGAAGCACATTCTTTAGGTTGGTTAGTCTCTAAGGTGCCACAAGTACTCCTATTCTTTAGGAAGTGGACTTGTTTCATGCAGGCCACTGAGCCTGCTGCTGACTTCTGGTTTATTTCAGGCTCCGAGTAGAAGAATCAAGCTCTAGCAGTGACAGGCTCCCTGTATATACCAGTGCAAAGAACCAGCAGTGCTTTTTTTACCCTTAAAGTTTACCCAAAATGATTTTTAAGACCCAGAAAGACAGGTTAATAAGAAGAGTAGGGCCCTAGCCCTAACATGTCCAGCAGCCTAAACCTCAGGAACGACAGGTTCTGACTGCAGTAGCAGGGATTCAGCCTGTTATCCTTCAGAGGCAGATTCACTAAGTTACATGACATTTACTACGGGTGGCTGGGTTTTTCCCTCCTGAGATTGTATAAACTGAGGGCCTATCTGCTTTATATGGTCATTAAGGATGGTAGGTTACTTTATCTATCTTTCTTCCTTACTGGCCAAAATGCCATTTCCTCATTGGTGGATACTCGTTGGTGTCTACATGAAAGGTGGCTGCATCCCTGTACAGCAGTATGTACACAGGTTCTTGAAAGGCATTACAGAACTAGGACAGACACCAGGATGATCTTCTGGGGGTTAAACCTTTGTGTGCTAGACGTATTTTATTTTAGGACATGGTCTGAAATGTGGTTGTTTGTGTTGTGTAGAGTTTTGGGTTTTTTTTACAAGGTGCTTGTAATTTTCAACCACACTCAAAACAGTATTGTACCCTTAAAAATATACACAAAGTATAACAGACAAATGATTGTATTCAGTGATAATGAACACACAGGTAAAGCTCTCTGTTTACCCCTCATTTAATAATTAGCTGCAAACCTCTCTTGTGTTTTCACTTACTGAGAAAGATTACAGCTGTTGATGCTAGAACAGCAAAGAGGGTGAAGAGAAGGATCTGGTAAGAGCCAATAAGCTGTTGGACAATTCCTGCTTCATTGCACTGACCTAACATTTTCCAGAAAAATGAGGTAATATTTAGTCTTGGGTGTAGGCAGACTCCTGGTTTCTGTAATAAATGATACTGTAGAGACATACATCTAACCACTCTGCAGCTTTGTTGCAAGAACTAATTGAAAAGAAGTATTAAATAAGATGTTTCAAAATCATTTATCCTTTTAATAGGAATTTGGTGTTGGAGCCTTAAGGAATGAAGTTCTCTCCCTAGACCAGGTGCAGCGCAAACAGCTGCAGTGAAAGTTTCCTGGCTCCGGCCCCTCTCAAAGTGCCTCACTAGGACTCGGAGGGACCACCTTATGGATTACAGGCAATTCAGTCTCCCTATTCTATCAGAGACTCCCCTCTGTTCACTAGGAAATAGACCCAGACCACCACCTCATGTAGACTATTAAATAAAATCAGATGGAAACTGCTTTGCATCATTATTAACCCGCAACTCCATACAACTCCTCTTCCCACCCCCACCAAGTTCAGCTGTCCACACCTAGGGAGTAAGTCTCTTCCTTGTGATCCCACTGAGTCTTCAGTGTGAAATGAACAAAACAGGGACCCCTTGTTACTGAGTTAGCATTCAAAAGGACCAATGCTGTGTGCTGCGCGACACTGAACTGCCATTAAGGTCAATGAGAATTAAGATACCGCACAGGTTCAGGCCTAGACACAGTAAGGTAGACTCGTTTCACTTTCTTGCAACAGGAAAGCAAACTGGAATGTGAAGAATGAGGATCCAGTAACTAGCAAACCACTTTGATGGCACTATTGCATCTTCTCATACAAATAAGACCAGCTGATACTTACTAAACAGATGCTGCCCTGCCAGAACTCTCACAGGTATGGCAACTCTTTGGCCTGTGAGAATACAGGAGACATTGATAAAGACGGGGGCTGCCATCTGGTGGAGAGATGTGAGATTGACCACACTAACTGGGTAGAAGACAAGTCCAGGCATGTTGGGCGAA